TTAGCTGAACCAAAAAATAGCTTTTACAAATTCACAGAGATGTGTAACTAAAGTATTTTAACCCGTTAAAACATCACCTTTCCAGATAACTGTGGTTATCAAACAACCTCTGCAAGAGGTTATCTAGAGATAACCTAGTTATCTCTAGATAAACAGCAGCAGTTTTTTGTAGAGGGTTATTTAACCCTCTACAAAAAAGCAGATTGTTCAGTTATTCATTTTCCAAAAAATGCACAGTTTCTGCTTCATGTTGAACATGAGGTGGCTCAAACCAGCACACAAGTGCCTAACATCAAAGCCTTTTACTTCTGGAAAGAAATGGAAATCTCACAGCATCATTTTTCTGCATCATAAAATCAAAGTAACTGAGCTCATCAGAGAGACTAAGATAACATTTTGCAAGAAGAGACTTCTTTTGTAAGTTATGTCAGAAGACAGATAGGTGACCCTATTTACTGAGAAAACAAATGTGTCACAACAGACTGCACTTTATATTCAAAAGCAATTAATGCATTTTGGTGTCGGCATTTCTGTGTGCACGGGGCGGGTGCTCCTAGAGGAGGAATTCTTAAACAGCAGAGAGACTGGTGTTGGAAAAAAGTCTTAAAATGCCTTAAGTTGAGAGTTAGACATTTCCAATGTTTAATTCTCTGAGCTGATCATAAGTATTCATTCAGGCACTTGTGCATTCACTCTGGCATTCAAGTGCTGTATAAGCAACAGTGAATTTACCACTGGAACCCTAGAAAATACATTCATTTATAGGAACTGAACTACTGAAAATTAGTTTGCTTCTTCAAGGAAGCTTAGAAATACTGGAGAACAGTCCTGCAGCTCCTGAAGCATAGATGATTGAAGGTTAACAAGAGGCTACCACTAATGTTTATTTGTCAGTAGCTGGTGCAAGACATGGAAAAAGTAACGGAGAATATTTTTCTCTCCAAGGTGTACAACGATTATTTCACACACAAAACTTTAGACACTTCCTAGCAAATAAGAGGTACATATCTTCTCAGAGCAAAAACTTTTAGGATCACTGTCCCTTATGAGACTCTAAGCATCCATTGTTAATATACAGTGCAATCCCACATGGAGGACTGAGACCAGTGAACTTGTCCTCAAGGGGCAGTGGGACAGCAGAGCACCTCCAAAAATGGCTCTCAAGGCATTTGTCCTCCAAAATTGTCTCTTAGGACCCAAAAAGCAACATTCAACAAAGAAGAAAATGTGTTATATACATAGGGAAGAATTGGCAGACAGCTGTATTTCCCTATTTCCATTCATACATGTATTAAGCAAAATAATATTATGAACATTAAGGAAAGACAGACACTTTCAGTCTTCTCTTTTTCATAATAACTTTAAATTGCTTCTGGCATGCTTTACATAATAGCCATTGAAAATATCACAAGACTTACACAGAAAATTCATTGTGAAATTAAACAGTGTGAAAACAAGTAATCATTTGAAGATGCAAATCATTTCCAAAATCCCAGAACTACTGTCTATAGTCATAATCTAACTGGCAGCTGAATACTAAGGGAGGCTTTTCCCAGAGATCTTCAGTGACAGCACAAGAAGTGAAGGAAACAGACTGGAACATGGCATGTTCCTGTTAGGTATCACACAACGTATTTCACCTTACAGGTGGTTTAGTCCTGGGACAGGGCCTCAAGAGTCTCCACCCTTGGAGATACTAAACACTCAGCTGGACAAGGTTTTGAGCAATCCAATCAAACTTCAAATTTAGCCCTGTTTGAAGCATGGGAACCTCAAGAGGTCAACTCAAATATAAATTACTCTGGGTTTCAAAGATATCAAAAGTTTTTTAAAATCAGAGCATTTTTACCAAAAGCTGAACCTTAACATCAGACATAAGCCATTAATAGCTTTTAAAAGCTCTGTAGAAGAGGTTGGGATCCATCTTCAGCAGGGGAAGCAGAATGATAAGGCGAGCAATTACTTCCTTCTCTCTAGGAATATTTACAATTGACTCCAAGGTTATGACAAGATCATAAAAATCTTAACAAAAGCTTGTTAAAGGCATGGGCTGTCTATTCCAACAGACAAACCTGTGTCACTCGACTAGCAGCCTACCAAATGAGTAACTGTATATATGAGTAAATGTATGTCTGAGCAAACACTTTGCCCACCAGCCCACTGGTAAAATGTATTTTTGACTGCCTGGAAATTCATCCCTAACATGAAACACAAGGGACAATTTCTGAAATTGTAAACCGTTAAAAACAGCAGCAATTTGTTTTCACTTTTTTCATCCTCCCCACCTATTTTTTTCTCAAAAAACAGCTACTTGGAGTCAGTATGAGACAGCCCACAGATGGACACATTTATAATGAATTTGGAAAAGTTAAAAACACAGTGATAGCAGACATGGAACAAAAATCTGGGGAATTCTCCTTAATTAGATTACACTCAGCGCACCCTGTCCATCTGAATGAGGACACAGCAGTGGAAACCGCCTGACAGCGTCGCTAATACAACTGAGGGGGTCTGTGGCAGCAGACATCTGTTTTAAAGCCCTGATCCAAATCTGCCCCTAGAGGCAAATCAGCCAGGCTTTGGATGTCAGTCTGAAACGTTAAAAGCAAAATTCCTACTTGCTGGGAGCAGGTGCAGTTCCACTAAACTCAGCACATTTTAACGGCACCCTGGATTTCAAATAGCTCCAGGAGTCTGCAAGTGCGGCACAAGCGCAAGGAGAAATAGACACACTTATTGTAAAACACTCATCTATCAGCAAGGTGTAGTAATGCTGTTTCCCAGCCTCAAAGATCTCAAAGAAAGGTCTCAAAAAAGTCACCAAAGTGCAAAGTACATTCAGCCCCTCCTCACTGCCCTACAAAACAAGGGCTTGAAAAATTTGCTGTGTTGTGTTTCTCCCTCATTTTTTCCTGCATGGTCTGTACCTGCCAGAGGATCTTGCATACATCCCCTTGCTTAGAAAAGCAATAAGAACTTTTTTTTTTTTCCTTCTGAAAGCAGAATCTATTCATGTTTTGTTACAACTGTCCATGGTACATGTCGAATATGGAGGGGGCAAGGAGGAAAATCTGGCAATGATCCTCCTGTACATTATTTCAGACAGCAGGCACACACCTCAGAATAAATAAATAACCACTAAGCCATCCCCATTCATGTTTATAATTAGTGCAATCTATTTAACAAACAGACACATAATATAGGTCAATTATGTAGGTCATGATAAATTTATAAAGAACTTCAGCCTGTAGGGCACCAAAAAGACCACGTTGAGGCAGCATTTCCAAAGTTACAGTTCATTTCTGCACGTGGTTTGTGAGCAGCAGCCAGGAAAAGCAGAGACCTCTTCAGTTTTTCTGCTTTGTGGTACTATAGTCACAACCATCAAGGAAATCATCAGTGGCATCTCCTGGGAGACATCCCCTATGATACAAGCACAGAACTGTCCCTCCAAAATATTTGTCCAGTTACTGGACAAATGCAGTTTCCAAAATTGCCAGAAGCATAAATGTCTCAAAGGTGTTTAATTCCTATGACTTTGTCAGAAACTGATGGGTATGCAGAGGGGAGATAGAGAAATATGTTGTTTATGCTTTCTCCATGAAAAGGAAATGGAAACTCAGCATTTGTCTGGCATGTTTGATCATGGCCCTCTCAACCAGGGACAGATGCAGCTGCAGAGAAGATGCAGTAGATGCCAAGTCCTGCCTTGCTAGGAGTTTTGGGAAGGAATGATGAAGATCCACAGTGGAGGGCATCAGAGAGCAGCAGGTGCCATGTGGGGTTCCAGGTAAGTGACAGGATCTCAGAACTACCTATCCTCAGGAATATGGGGAGGATGCAGTGACAGACGGCCACAGGGAAAGCTACACATCAATGGTTTGCAGCAAGGAGACAAATTTAATGCTCAGGGCTCAACAAAAATCACACTTTTCTGCTACAGGTCAGCACAAGTAGAACTTGTTTTTTGAGACAAAGGGAGAAAATGGAAGCTGAATGGAAATTTGAGCTATAGGTTTAGTTGCTGTTCCTTTTCCTTTGTATTTGCAAGTACTGCAGCAGAACAACTCTCTCAGTGGGTACGCATCAGCTGGTTGAACACCCATGTGACTCTCTGAGGATGTAGGGACATCAGGATTATTCAGTTGCTACCTGGCTTGCACAACATGCCAATTACATGCAGTTCATGGGCACACTGTGCCAAAAATACTGACTTTGTACTTGCTGTACAACTTAATCTTGTTACTGTGCACTAGAGTCGTAACAAAATTGCTGAAATAACCTTTTAATCATACAGATTTTCCTATCTGTACAATTTGTCTTTGATCCCTGTTTATTAATTCTCATTGAGACATCCAAAACAATTCTTCTTATAACATGGGAGTGACAGAGATAACTTCCCAAATGGTTCCCAAACTGGTTCCCAATAATTCGCATTCTACCTCAGTTTGATATATACAATGCACCAAGGTATGAATCTAAATGTATGAGTAATATGCACAATATGTGGATATCAGATTTGAAAATTTGTTACAAATCTCAGACTGTGTGACTTAATTCTAAGAATGACCACAGTACTGCATGTGACACAGTTTCAGGAATGGATCCAAAACTCTTTAAACCACCTGCACTCCATCCCAGGTCCGAAGCTGAGGAGAGGGGGTTTCCAGGAACAGCCTGAGAACTGTTCTCATGCACATAAGTAATGTTTTTTACAGGAGAGAGAGATAAAAAACAAACCGCAGTATTGCATTCCCATTTCTTTGGAATCTCTAGTCCTAACTGCAGCACTTATTACGAACATATATGCAAGATATTTCAGTTTCAACTAAGAGAAATAAATACTGTACTATTTTGCCCTGTCCCTGGGGAAATGGTGTTCCTGACAAAATACTGCTCTCTGCTGGCCTTGACCTGCTTTAGCTCAAGGGCCTCGACTCCTGAGATCTGCCTTCCCTCGTGAAAAGGGGAAAAAAATTCTTTTGCTGACTTAGCAATCAGTGACAGGAGCATTTCTTTATTAAGGATTGAAAAAAAAAAAAACTTGATAAGAAAAACCATACAGATATCACCTAAATCTTCTGTCTTGAAGAAAAAATGCAAGTAGTGCTTCACCCCGAATAACGCCTCAGAAGCATTCCTGTTTTCTTGCAACCTGGAAGAAGAAATAGGCTGTTGATGTAGCAGGCTCTCTGTTATGATGAGTTCAGAAGTCTGTGTGTTTCTAAACATAGGGGATTCAAGTTCTGTTCTAGGTTTCAGGAAACTTGCTCCTAGGTGGAAATGTTCACAGCAGCCCAAAATCACAGTGATAACCACAGAATTTGAGAAGGGGCTCCCTGGTCTTTTACTTCAAAGGACAGCTCCAGACCTGAGTAGCTCCCTAGCCCAAAAGTTGTAGTGTCTTTACTTCCTATCTCCATTTTTTTTCTGTTTTACCAAAAGGGGGTCACTCAGAACAAAGCTAACTAAAAACCAGCTTACTTTCTTTGAATTTACTTTCACACTGCCACTAGATATTGCTGAGCTACATCTGGCACAGCAAGAACCATAAAAAAGTAGTTTTTTAGTCTGTCAGCATACCATATTTTGGGACAGAACAAGGTGATGCCATGCTTCAGACTCACCAAGATCAGTGACCATGCACAGCTATGACTGTGACCATCCTCCCCTCAGTCCCAGAGACAAAGGGTATTCACCCAGCAGTCAGGCTGCATCTTTCCTGAGGTTGTCGTGTCTATCTTCTCCCTGCTGGGTTTGCAGCTCCTGAGATTCCATGACTGACAGGAATGCCACAGCAGCAATTTTGGGATTAACACCTACAGGAATCAACAGAGCATTCTCAGATGTCTTTTTTTTTCTCAAGCCGCTAGCAGACTCATCTTTGGCGAAACCACACCATCAGAGTCTTTCTTTCAAACCAGCATAGAAACTACACATAGATTCTGTGTTGCAATCACATCACAGAAGAGCTACAAATCTTAAAAAAAATTAATTCTTTGCACATGAGGTATGGTGAAAGGCATGAAGCAACTACTCAAGGACTTTGCTCGCATCTACTCATACTCCCTGCCTCAGACCCAACCCAAACTTGCAGGACAGGAGCTAGCTCCTGGGAGGGCTGGCTCTCACTGGGGTGCAGAGGGTGCCCAGAAGCCCTGCCAGCCATCTCCTGGTGGCATTATCCCTGGGCCATGGGGCTTCTCCCACCACCCACACAGGTCCTGCTCTGCACTTTCCCCCCTCACCTTGAGGACCACTCCTGTTATTATCCAGAAAAATCAGATTCATTACCCAGTGTGCAACAAGCCAAAAATTAAACACTCAAGAGAGACATTTGATTATTTGTTTCAGAGTTGCACAACTCTGGAAACCTGGATGATTTGTGGTATTCTACAAAATCTGTATGATTGGTGGTATTCTACAGAGGATGCCCCTCAGGATTTTCCAGGCCATTATTTATACACAGATATTTGGTACTAGTAACCTCCCAAGTACATGTTGAGGGCAACTCAAAATGGGTTTCTGTGTTCCATATCTATCAGTGCCCCAAATTGTTATTGTCTCTAAGACCCTAGAACCTGAAAAGAGAACTGGAGTGGGAGGTGTCACAGCCCCTTTTAAAGTCTTTGTTCACAAGGGGTCAGTGAGATTTAGCAATTCTGTTTCCAGGGGTTATTTACTGTTATTTTTTTGCCTGTTGCTGTTTCACTTGTTGTTAAACTTATTTTTTCACTTATATCTATTTGTATTCACTCCTGATTGGTGGAAGGGGATTGGTTAAATCTAAAGGGAGATAACTTAATTAGAGCATCCACCTCTTAAATCGTCTTAAACTTCTCTACTAGGACTGGTTAGTAATTATACAAACTATGTGACCCACCTAATTTCCATACATGCTCAGAGAAAGTTTTTTCACCAAGCCAGCGCCTTTTTGACCTACAGGTGTGATTTTTTTAGTACTATAAAAAACATATTTCATAGGATACATGGACCTTGGGTGTTTCACCAAGCTGGCAACGGGTACATCAACATTTTGATGTTCTTCATCCTTAGAGCTTGTTTGCTCCACTGTGTCCTTGGCTAGACGATGTTAACCACCACGTGATTCAAGATAATTTTTACACATTCCGCATTTCCCGACACATCTTCCTGACCTTGAGGCGCTTTGTTTATTTTATTTTTTAAGGCCATTTTCGAGGAGCTCCCGCCCTGCGGGGCTCGGCCGCCGCGGGACCGCCCTCCCCTCCC